GTACCTATTTTCGTTTTTAGTTTAATAAATGATATGATTTTATTGTTGATAGTATTATTATACGTAATTACCCTCTTTATAATTAATTTAATTATAATGAAATTTGTTTCTGTATTTTTAAATTTAAATGTTTCAAAAATTTATAGTAATAAAATATAGCATAAAAACACCGATTAGGTACACTGTAAATTATAAAAAATAGAAATGCTACTTTTATTATTTGTACTTTTTTTTTTAAATGAATTGAAAAATATAAATTTAAGATTGTTGAATTTAATTTGTTGAAGAATATTATTGGTAATGTTAAAATTAATTTTTTGTCATTCTCTTTGTTTGTTTGTTTGTTAACTATAAATTACAACAATAAATGTCTCATGTATGTGATACATCAGTAATTATAATATTACCGATATAATGATAAAAAATTAATTGGATGAGCTTATATATATATATATTATACAGATACCTTAAACATAAGATTCGAAATGCATAATATATTATAAACAAGTGTGCTTAAGTAATTTTTTGCTCGACATGGATTATTAAAATGTTTTTCGTACATAATTAAACGTAGCAAATTTTAGTCGAGAAGGAATGCAAACAGTTCAATGCTGTTTGTTTTATGAAAAATTTCTCTCTATACCCTCTAATTCTAACATTAATATATAAACAAACGTATGAACCAATATGTACTTTTAATAAGCATCGAAGCTACGCTCAATACTGCACGTCAGCTATCTTCTTCCGTATGATGCATTATGCAAACTTTGAACACTTTTAGGAAACGCCAGTGACTCTCTCAACTTAGAATAATATGTGTACAATTTCGTCAATTCCTAGAGATCTTGTTAATTCATGATCGCATGTAGTAGAATAACTACGATCCACGTGCTCTTGTTGTCTCATGCAATTGTGTATATACGGTTTCGACCCTTCTTACCTCCCTCCCTTCCTTCTTTCGTTTCTTCTTCACTATTTTCTTTCACTCTTTTTTTCTTGTTTCTTATCAATAAATTAACGATATTAGTCATTTATTCATGTTAAAGTCTTACTATATTTGTAACTTTAACTAAGATTTCATGTTGTAACATTAATTATTTTTGGTTATTGTGGTTTGTTGTAAAATACCGACGAATCATTTCTGTATAATATTTCATCATACATATGTTCTGTCCTTGCTTTTGAAATCCTTTACTTTACAAAATATGCCCGAACAATTAGGATATATTAAATCCCATTAATTAATAATACCAGCAATTAATATAAATTAAAATATTCTTTGAATTATTGTAACAATGTTTCTTATCTCTTTAAAATAATTGTAGTGAAATTTTATCAGAAATCTCTACCAATAAACGAACAATATTAATATTTATATGTTTTTATAGAATTGAGATTAGAATATATGAATTTTAGCATGGCGCATGTCTTTTATTTCTCTTTAGTCTCTTTTATGAGACTCTATTAGAACTGCGCACGAGGCTAGAAAGAGGACAAGAGCAAAGTCGGGGTTGTCGAGTGGGGTGGTCACAAAGAGAAAAATATTCATCGATGATCATTAACGTGATTGCCGTGTACACTCGAAGTACCTTGAATAATAGTGCGATCGCGAGGTATTCAGTTAACCCAAGGAATTTATTGTCTTTGACCGTGTACGAACGTTACTAACTGTTGTTAGTAGTAATTTTTTGCACTAACATCTCACGTGGCTTAGATACGATTTCTTAGGTAGTGATTTTATTTTCACACCCTCGATAAATATATAGACAGGTAACAAATTGTCAATTTCTGAATTATTTCAATTTCATCATTCATTTTTAAGTGACATGTAGATACATTTTACGTACATGTAATATCGACTATAAAAGTAAAATATATAAATACACTATATTTTACCTATAACAAACATTTTATACATTTATTTGATTTTATGAGGAATTAGAATTGAGAAAAATTGTATATTATTTTGAAAAGCTTCTTTTGAATAGATTAAATTAACTTGTAGATATGCAAATTGCCATATAAAAATATATTAGCCGCAATGTTGTTATTATTATTGATTTAGAATTCAAATTAATACAAGGCGATGTAAATATAGCAAAAGTAAAATTCATATTTCTACATTTTCAAATTCTATATGTTTAATGCTCTCATTATTGCTCTCGAAACGGGTTTCCATTATGACATTTCAATAATATAAATATAATTGAGAGTTATTTTGAGTTGTCATACAGTCAATAAAATGCATATTTTTATTGAATATGAAAAATAATATTCAATTAGTATATATTTACACTTGCAACATGATTTAAAAATTTTTTTTTGCATTTAAGTTGACATTACATAATAATTGATAATTAAATATTTATTTTCATTTGTACTGTAATGAACTTAATTTTATTACAAGGATGTGAATATTTTAATTATATAAAATATTGTAAAAAATTTATAATATATTTTTTTTAAATTACCTAAAGAAATTAGATAAATGGTGTCTAACGATTTAAAGTTCTTGGATATTAATAATTCAGTGGCAAATAATTTTACTAAAGTATTATGGATTAGTGAAGAATTATAGGCAAACAAGCCTCGACGTTATATATATATATATATTTTTTGTGTGTGTGTGTGTGTGTGTGTGTGTGTGTGTGCGCGCGCGCGCGTGTGTGCGTGTGCGTGTGTAATACTTCAAGAATATAATGTAATACTAACAATTTTAATATTAGTACATGATGAATTTATACATTGCACTTTGAATAATAATATTGTGTACATAAAATATTATTAAATGTTATTCTATTGTGAATTATGAAAATATAAAAAACCAAGAAAAATTCAATATTTTTAAGTATAATTAGGAATAGATAATTTATTGATGTCGCATGCGTTCTTCCTAATTGATTTTCTTTAGTTTAGTAAATGCAAAATGATTACGTGACAATAAAATTACTGCCAAATTACAATCATTCTCAATAATTGAATTAAAATTGAGTTTTATAGTATTTCATAATTATAGACACTATTTACGAATTTGTTTGTATTTGTATACTGATTTAATATCAACACTCTTATCACAGAGCAAACGATACAAATTGACAATATTTTTAGATTTACATATTTGGAAAATAATTACATTAAAAATCTACGAATGTATATTAACTTATTTTATAATATATATTTTTTTTTTAATTTAAAATTATTTTGAATATAAAACAGCAAATGATGTTAATGATGATTGTTTCAGAAGAATGTTGATGCCATTAAATTATATTTTCTATATTTGACATATAACCATATAATGTGTTTTCAAATGTGAAATTCGATTTTTTATTGATCACCTAGTAATCTTTGTAAACTTAAAAATTATTATTGTAACACTCAAGTAAATATGTTAACAAAATAATATTAATCGATTCTAACCAATAAAAGTACTTTAGTTATTGATTAAATGTTTGTCTTGAATATATATAGCCAATGATTGTGGATCCATTTCTTTTTTTTTTTTATAAAAAATTGCTTCTCATGAAAAACATACAAAATAAAAATTTACGGAATAAATCTAGTTTTATTACTGAATAATACAATATGGAACATAATTAATTCTTCAAAACATTTAATTCAATGTTAATTTTTCTCTTGAAATCGTATATTATTAATGACTTTTTTTATGTTCTTGATAATGTACATCACTAAATCAATAATTTACATTTCATGTATTCTCAATGAAATATGTATTAAATAATATAATTATAGATATTAGTACATTAATGAAAATGACCGTGCGCTATTCTCATAATTAGTAATTAATATTTTTTGTATTAGCCCCCAAAATATTCAATTTTTAATTATTTTAAAAATTGAGTTTTCCATTTACTAATTAATTGATGCTGATTTGTTATCTTAGCTATTGCTAATTGACATATCATAATGATTTTCAAAATGGTCACTGAAAGAATTTGTAATGAATGTTATATCGTATCGTTATAGAACTATGACATAAGTTTTAAACATATTGTGACATACTCACCATTAGATTGTTATTATTAATAAATTAATTTTGATTATTAATAAATTCAAGTTTACGATATATATATGTTTGTCTTATCTTATATTAATAACTATTGCATATTTATATTAAAATGCTTACTCATAAAGTATATTATAGATGATAAATATCATATAATTTTAGAAAACTTTATAAATTTAATTGTCTAATATTTAAAGTGATTAATTAATTTTATTTCTACTGTATTAACATAATTACATTTTTTATATATATTCTATTCATTATATAAACCTATATTTTTTATCTATAAAATATGTAAATATGTAAAATATAAAATAAGTAAATTTTTTAATTGCTTACAATTTATTATTTACATTTTTATTTTAATAATCTATCAGCCAATGCACTAATATACAATTGTAAGTCTGAGGTTTTTAATTTAACATATGCACTCGGTGATTAAAATAATATTTGGAAATATTTACAGTATTTATTTTAACTTAAATAGTTGTGAAGCGAAGTGACTCGAGTCGAAGTTTAAGTCTATTAAATGATCTTATTATTTTCATTTTTAAGTGTGAAACCTTAAGAGCTAACTTATTTCCTAGCTTTCGGGTCTCTCACATTTTCGAAATCATTCCGCAAATTACAAGGCACCGAAAATGTCAAGTCCACGCTTGCATCAACGAGTAATTATTAAAAATAAACAACAATAATAATCATTGTAAGCACAGTAGGCATGGGGAACAAGCAGTAATAAATGGTCGAGTAAGATTTTACAGAAACTCACGTGGTTCGAGTCATGGACGAAGTATTTACGTTTACCTTTGTCCTTGCGTTTGTCCTTAGGAGAACAGAACTGGTCTGCACTACTGCGCGGCCTGTCGTGATTCCGAGGCAGTCTGGGACGTCCTCATCGAGGCTGGTTGCGACGCGAGTGTCTGCGATAGGAGGGGTAACCCGGCTGCCTATTACCTCCAGCGGGGATCCGAGATCGAGCTGCCGGACCCCGAGAGGATGACCGGCAAGAGGCTGCGCACAAGGGATCCTTCCCAATGGAATAATAGTCAGTATAATAGAGAGAGAGAGAGAGAGAGAGAGAGAGAGAGAGAGAGAGAAGTTGGGAGAGGGAATATAAATGCTCGCGACGCTGCTTGTAATATTACGTTTAAGTGGAAACTTGAGTTCCATTTAAATATGTGCTGGTTAATAGGAAAATTTGTTTGTACAAAATTTCTTTAATATTATAATTCAGAAGTCTGGCGTATGTAGTGCTTTTCTATATCGATTAATGTACACGCAAAAACAATACAATGCTAGGGAAATACGTTTCATTCCCATTAAATTTGAATTGAGTTTTTACTAGTTGAAGATCCAGCATATTATAAAATTTATTTATAAGAAATATATATAAATATATTTATACTAATGTCCAATAAGCACATTATTTATTTGTAATTTAATATATTTATAAAATTAGTAGACGAATAATATAAAAATTTGTTACTGAATTACGACTATACGAAAATCTATATATTTGTGAATTTTTTATAATATAATATAATTTAATTAATTTTATGATTCTGTTCGTGCTTATACTTTAAATTTATAACTCATTCGATTAAAAAAAATTAAATAATGAATTATTAGATTTTACTTTTAATTAGTCAATAATACATTGTAAAAGAACAAGCAATTTTGATTTTTAATTCTATAATTGAATAATTTCCTTTAGATCACATTTAAATTATTTATTTTAATTAACTCATTTCTAACAACTTCGAGATGTCGTTTACCGTTTTATTTTCACATACTCCTTTTTATTAACGTTTTCTGTTTAGAACACATACGAATTAGAATTAATTTAAATCGATATACTTTTTTAAAAGTAAACCGAATTTTCACTAAAATATGTTTCAATGTATACTTGATTATTAATACAAAACAATTATTTTGCTACAAAGAACGAGAATAAATATTTAAAGCAAATTCAGTTTATTAAAGTAAGTTGTAAGTCTGTTTAGTGGAAAGTAATCAAAACATAATTCGTAAGCTTTATTTTTATTTTATAAACGCGTAAATATGAGTTTTCATTTATATTTTAAATTATCATTGGCGGTTGAATGCGAAAAATACTGTTTACAGTTACCTTCATTTACTTTAATTGTATTTTTCGTAAATTTATTCAGCTATATCGTCAATAATTAAGAATTCTAGAAAGTTTAGAAATTATACATTAATAAGTAAGATAAATATATAATATTTATTGCACCAAGAATTAAATAACAAATAATGATTGTACTTTTATACGTATGGAATTATCTCGATTCTAATGTCAATAAATAAAACAACAAAATATTAATAGTAAAATATATAAATCAGTTAATGTCCGTTAATTTTTTCATTTTATTTGTAATTATCCCAAGCATATATGTCATTCATATATGTCTGTTCAACAATTCAACCGATTTCATTTCACCGAATCGATTGACGATTTAACGTGATTTTTCTGAAGTGATTTAACGAATTCGGTGAACATAGTTCACAGGATTTCGAATTTTTTTAAAAATTTCCAATTCTACGATTCAACGATATTTATTAATTACTACGGAACGGGTATTTACACATTTTACTGCTTTACATATATATCGCATACTTCCAAGAATATCTCTTCCGAAGTCGAGGTTCATAACAAAACTCCGTGCGCATATGTTTATTTGCATCCATACATTTATTTCCATTTATTATTAGAACATATTACAACTATAGATTTATTTATTGTGCGTATCGACGGCAATGGATTACCTCAAGTAATTCTAACCATTTAAAATTAATTTACCTCAATGATTCTACCTCAGCTCCATTCTACTGTTAATAAGCATGCGTCTATGTAAGCATGTGTTCACGGGAGCAAAGGCGCGCGCGCGCGCGCATATAAATATATGACTGCATAGATAACTGTACAAGTATACTGGGCATATACATACGTAAAAAAAAAATTTAATAGTAATCATAGTACGGCTGCAGTTAATAAAATAAAATAAACAATAATACATCCATTTTATAAGTTAAAATCTAGAGCATTGAGGAAAGGTATTGGACTTTAAATGTTTTAACTTTGTTATTTTGTGTTAAAATGCGAATACAAGTATATTAAAAAATCAAGTTTAAAATAATTTAAAGTTGTTGCATTAAAGAATCGTTTCATTTTCTTATACTACAGAGATAGAATTATTTAAAAAAGAATCTTTTTTATGAATATTCAATTGTATTCTTGTTTTTTATAAATAAGCCCACATAGAGAGTACATTACTTTGCACATGTTCGTTAAAATTATTAAAAAGTTTAATAAAAAAATTATTCAGGCATAATTATCAATACATAATTACCGAGAAAAGGAGAAAAGATTTTTCATTTTGCTTTATTTATTCATTGTTATATTAATACTTTTAAAATTATATTTTTCGTAAACTAATAAAAGCTAATTGATTATTTATATTTATTGATAACTCATAGATGATATATTACAGTTTTAGTATTATTTTTAGTATTATATTGGTATTTTTCCATTATTATTATTCTAGTATAATTTTAATATAATATATACAGATCACGTACAGATCCATAAAAATATTGAAATTAATACAATTAGTATTTATATTTTTAATTAAAAGATATTAATTATGATTATTAATATAATTAATTATTTTAATTAAATTAATTATTAATTTTTAAAACTTAAAAATAATGATTTAATTGTTAGTTGCATTATATTTCTATAATTTTTTATGTAGTAATGTATCAAATGTATTTTTTCACTTAATTAATTAAATCAACTGAAATTGATGTATTAAATAAAATTTTACCAGCTATGAATATATAAAATTCAAAATCGTTTGTGACGTGGCTTCATTTTGTTAATATTGAATTTTTAAAAATAGTAATAATAGGTAAATTGAAATATTGACGTGTAATATTCATAACTGAAAGCATTTAATATTATTATCTAAATTAATAATTATAATGTAAAATCGTTAAGATATTTAAAAAATTTTAAAATTTTTAATATTACATTATTTTATTAAATTTAAAATATTGCATATGATACAATTATTTAACAAGTTTCAATTAGAATAAATATTTAAATAACAAAGAATTTTTATTTATGTTTTGAATTTGAAAATACAAATTAGTAAATATTTTGCAGTAATAGAATTCCAATCATCTTTGACTTCAATATTTGAGAAAATCTATAAAATGAATAATCTTGAAAGTATAGTTAAAATAATAAAATGGTAAAAAAATGAAAATTTTTGCATTTGTTAAAAAAAAATGATTAATAATAATAATAAACTTACGAACAAATAAAAAACGTATTTAAGACTTATAATTAATATAAAGTTTATTGGGCTGAAATTTAAGTATAAGAGATAAATTTTCAAGTAAATAATATCTTGGCCTATAATATCTTGAGATTATTTAATATATTTTGTTAAACCTTTAAATAGATAAATTTTCTCGATTTTTCTAATATATATTGTGATAATTAGTGTAAACAAAATGATGGTTTTCATTTTAAATTATGGTGAAATTGTTTTGTCAAATATATAACTAAATTAATAGAACGTAATAAGCATAATTTAATACTCATTCTATTTATATTTAATTGTTTCTTTTGAAATTATAATCTTCTATCTTTAATATTACAATATTATGAATTTTCGTCAATGTTATTCGAAAAGTTTAAATATAATATTTTATATAATAAAATATTATTACAATGGAATAAAGTTTTACAAATTTAACGATTTTATAAATTAAATTAAATTTTTCTTAAAATTTACAATTAATTAAGACAAAAATTTATATGTATATATTTATATATATATATTACAATCAATTTTATAGATCTTTATGTGTAGTTTAATTTGTTAAAGTTTGATGCCAAAGTTTTATTATTCTTACTGTTCGAAAATGGCGTTATTTTCTGGCTCGAACTGCCAGTGTTTCGATAGCTTTAAATATCATTTGCCGCTCCCTCTTGGAGATGCTTAAGGTGGCAGTCAAGTGGAAGGGTTGTCGAAATGTGTAATATTGCGCAAACTTCTTCTGTAATATATAATTTATTAACGATTACATTAACAATAAGCATGGTTCTTGAAGGTGACGATACCGTAACGTCCGCTAGTATTGTAATGACTAGCAGTACTGTGCTCACACTCCTGTGTAGCACTTGTGGCCTTGAGAATTGTGTATACGAACGAAGAACATACCTGGAGATTATGCTCGTTTGTGGCAGTGTAGTTTCTCTTAATGCAGTCGTCAGTCAGCACCGTTGACTGCTTGTACGTGTGTGGCACGCTTGACAATTAGACTTGTGTCCCTTGGGATGACTGATATGATGTGTGTTATGATTGTGAGCGACTGGTGTGTGGCCGAAACACTAACTGTATAACGTAATGACTGTATAACTGTTGACCGACTCATACACAATGAGCGTATGAATGAGCCGCCTCCTTTTGAATAAGCACACGAAAACCAAAGGTTTGATGATTGTTCGTTCCGTCGCGACTCTACTGAAACAACATACCGAGTGTTCCATCATGGCGGTCCTGCTGAGGGCAGACCGAGACCCGTGTGTGCCATGGCTTCTACTGGTAAATGATTAAATCGGTTCATTGTGGTCGGTTCATTGTGGTCGGTTCACTGTGTGTGTGCCACGGCAAGGGGTTCGCAGCAAGAGAACGAGACTCGCCGCGTAGTTGCCTTATATATCCACGCGGCAGTTTACTTACTTATCTGGCAACAAAGCATCGTCGTGGCTATACGTAGAAAGAAAAATTTAGAAGTTTCGAGAATTCGACGAAAAAAACTAGGCTTAAGAAGTTTGGAGAATTTCAAGGGACGTTACTGCTCGAAGACCATATAAACATTGTAGGTCATTTGAAAACAAAATATAACAAGTATACGAAAATTCTCGTAACCAAGTGTTTACAGAAATTTGAGATTTATAAAAGGCCTGCGATACCGACAATCGACGGTCTTGGAAATTTACTTCAATACCGAACACTTACATATAATATTATTTTCCATAAAACTTATAGCAAAATAAACTACGTAGCAAAATTCAGTTTCACATCTGAAGGTTTTAATATTACGTTAAAGACGACATTTTCAAATGAAAATTAAAACATTACACATAAATAATATAAAGTTTATGTGAAAACAGATGCAAAATTTTTTATAATATAATAATGACTTGATCGTTAAATTAATGAAGTATTTCTTAAATTATATAAACTAGTTAAGTAATTAATATATTAAATCTATGATTAATCTAAAACAATTGTTCGATTACTTTAAGAATTTGACTTTAAATTACAGAGCAATAAAAGCGCATTTAAATTATTATAATTCATTTATAAAAAATATAATTGTATATGAAGTTAAAATACATACGTAATTTTATTCGAAAAAATTAGAATAAATTTAATTCTCATACTTTGATGGATTTTGATTTAGGAACTCAATAAATTACTTCATTCTAAAATTTATCAATTGATAATGTATCTTTTAATAACTAATTTAACTAATTATACCTATTAAATATTCATATATTTCTAACATATTGAAAAACTGTTATCAGTTCCTCCAATTAGCATTCTGTTTTTATTATCTATATTTATACATTTAATAAACTGTACAATGAATGGTTAAAATTATTATAATTAACAAATTTTTATTACATTATTTTTACATGAAACTTTATGCAAATTATTATACTTTTAATTCTATTCCATTGTTCGATTAAATTAAAATTTTCAATGAAATATCGCAATGTCTTTGATAAATTGTAAAACTTACAAGTTTGTCATGCAAATTATTGTACAAAATTATATATTTACTAACCAACATTGCTTACATTAATTTGTCATTTATTTTTCTCTATATCGTAACATCTAATATTTGTAATTAAAATTTTGAAATTAATAAGGCATAATATAATATGCAGTTTTAAATCAAAACTTGAAGCATTATTTTAGACACTGAAACTTAATATTATTTACTTATTTTTACTTTTTTGTTTATCACTTAAGAAATTATATATTTTGCCTGTCACATATAAGTTTTCATATGATTATTTTCTTAATATTCGAATTCGAGATTTTTTTTCATTGTACAATATTAGTAAAATAATTATTCGAGCTATTTCATATACACTATATATATGGAACATATAATATATTCTTTATTTTGAAGCTTTCAAATCTTCTTCTATCTATTTACATAAGTAAATTATCATTAGAACTTATACATTTTTTCCTTCTATACCTATGTAATGATACAATTAAAATATTTATTAAAATAATTTGTTAATCGTAATATTAATACCAATATAATCAGATCTTTCTAATTTCAAATTAATCAAATCCATTGTAATTTATTTGTATTCGTTTTCCTTTGAATAAATATAATACAATAAGATATATTGTTTTGCTAAATATTTATTTATTTCATTATTTTAAATCCAGTTATTTTAATCTTGAATATTTATACAAGCAACGGTGCTTGAAATTTATTTCAAAAATTATCGCAAATATCGTATTATTTAGCAATGCCTAATATTTCTTCATATTATCGTAATATGATATAATTTGCTCATTTTCATTATTATCAAATAGTATTTTTCATTTTTATAAATCTTGCTTTTTACGATATTAGGCTGTCGGATTACTAATTTATGGCAATACGATTTAAAATTGTAGCATAAAGTTAACTTTTTTGATGGTTCAGTATAAATATTGCGCGTTCAAAGCATCAATAATACTATATATATATATATATATGTGTGTGTGTGAAGTCTATGCGTAAAATGTAAACAAACGTCATTCGGTGCAATTGAATAATAAATTGTGAAAGGGGCTGGTAAACGAATGGCAGACACGAAACTTTTGTTTACAACAATCATGGCTGCATGAAGTATACAAGCTTAACACGTTCGATGTGTGCATATTGTGCTTAAAACGTTTGAGTTTTACTTGCTTTGCGCATTTAGTAAGTCGGAAACGCCAGCTGCAAGTGGTGGATGCCTCTGAAGGACTTTTTAGTAGTCGCGAGATTTTCAACTTGACATTGTTAAAAATGGAAAAATCAAGTATAATTAAGATACTTTTACGATATTTTGTGTGAAATGCGTACATATTAAATTTAAATATGCATTTTTTGTGCAATAATATATATATATATATATATATATATATATATGTATTGTAACGATAATTAATTTATCACTGCATTTTTAATTGGTTTAATGTTAAAGTGTTTATAAAGATTTTGTAGTTTCATACATTAGAAGAATTAAGAAGTTTTAAATAAATATAAACATGCATAAAAAATTCGTGATATATGAGTCATTGTTTTATTCTTCATCAGAATCAAAAGGATTACTCAAAAATTTCTGAATTTCAAATTGTTAATAGTTTTTACCACCGTGTATTAAATTGTGATTCTGGTTTCATCTCTTTTCTTATTATTATTTTATTTTTATAATACAGATATTTGAATCTAAATTTAGATTAACAATACAATATTTAATTGTATATCAGAAGTTGGAAAGTTCTATTTTAATATAATAAGAGTAGTAACTTATGTGTAGTTTATAATTATTGGCTAACATTAAATCAACATTAATTTTACATGAACAAATCTGACCTTTATACTTCTTCGTATAATTTATCAGCAATTATTTCTATGCCTTATAAGTTACAACTGCTCTTGTAATTTTTAATTATCCAACAAGTATACCTGGCAATGTCAAAGAACTATTCTACAATTAATTCGAATCGTACTAAATATTACATGAAAGCATATTCTATAGATAAAGATTTTAATTTTAATACATTGCAATATTTATAATGATAAATAAAAAGTTAATAAAATATAAAGAGACGTTTTTTTTTCAATTTTCTTTATTAAGAAATCATAAGATTTATTTGCTGATGTACTGTTAATTATAAATGGATCGCTTTATCAATGATTTTCAATAACCACCATCGTAATAATATGAAATTTTTGTAGATCTTGATTTCAAGCCTTCGAATATAAGAATATGGATTCATAATCGAAACGTTGGAAAGCTACAGCAAGTACTTTGGGAGGGTCATGGATCGAAGTTGCGCTGTGAAACAAGTAATAATGTCCGAGTAAAAAGGTTTCTCGAGGCGGTACCTTTTATTATGGTATATTATGAATATTCTCAGTTGCTTGATACTTTTTAATTTTTTTTTTTTTAAGATAAAATCATCGGTTATATTAAGTCATTATGAAAATTTTCTTGCATGATAATATTCTTCTTATAAATAAATAAAGATTATTTAATTTACCATTTATCATTTGGAATGGTAAAATATACATATAAATATTATATGATTTTATGAATTTAATAAACTTAATGAACGAATTTTAAATTAGTAATTGCACATTTCATAAATTAAACTGCATTTTTAAGCGCACTCAATATAATTATACATTATAAATACAAAGATAAAGAAAGATCTTCCGTATTACAAGAAATTAAAATCGTAGGCGAAAATAAAATTGATTTATTTGTAATTTCAATTTGAAGGGAACAATAAAGGACATTCACTTAGCAACTATAAAAAATGATATCGAAGGATTTCGAAAAAGTGTGGAGGAACCCGTGTCGCCAATCATTTTAAGCAGTAAAGACAATAATGGACTTAATGTGCTTCACAAGGTAAATTAAACCAATTTTGTATTTCAAAGTCAAAACGTACCGGGAGTACAAAAATAAGTTTATTATTAAAGTAATCTTATTATTAAATTATTAAATTTTATAATAAGTATTATTAAAAATATCGAACATTGGTATATTTCCTCTATTAATAATACAAGGCTTGTCTCTATTTATTTATTTATTTATTTAAATACAAAATTCTATTTTTTTTTTTAATACAGTACTTTTTCATATATAGCCTATATATGAAGTGAAAACACAATTTTCTATTGGAAAATTAATTGCCAAATTCCGATTACCTATTTTAATGCGTATTCGTTGTGAATGCTTAGTTAACTTTACTTTAATTTATTATAACGCAAATCTTCGTTGGTAATTAAAAAATCCAATATTGCTTCTTTTATCTAAAAAATAAACCTACCAAGAAATAAAAGACAAATATTTATTAAATTTCATTTCAATTTTTCATATGAAATTTTATAATTTAGCTCCCCACTTTATCTAATTTGTATTAAAAATTATTTTTTTACAGTGTGTTGTATTTATATCCATTATCGTTTTAATTATAAACTTTTTTTTTTTTTTTTAATTTATTCGATACAATAATAGAGTATATGCAAAATGTATTTTTATATTTAGAATTTCAAATTTTAAATTTGTGAAAAAATGCATCATATTTCACCTAATAATATGTTTTTTAACGTTTGCTTCGGTAAGTCTTAAAAATACCTTTGACGATGAATAATTTCTAATTATCTTTATCCTCTTTAATATAAATTATTTTAAAGACACAGACATTTCTGTTCTAATGATCTTCGAATGAACTCTACTAATGGCAGATTGGAAACATTTTATCGAATTCTATTTGCTGTATTTTTTTTTTTTTTTTTTTTTTTTTTTTTTTTTTTATATTTATTTATTCTCTCAGACCATTAGTACTAGTCCATTATTTATTGTTTAATAATATTCACTTACGCATATTACGCGTAAGAGCAGAATGATGTAGCACATATCTACGTCGTTAATAGATGCGATAATAAATATAATCCTTATTTTATGTGTTCAATGGAAAATAACCGTATATATTTGAAATTGTTGATCTAATTTTTTTTTTTTTTTTTTTTTTTTTTTTTTTTTACAAAAATAAATAATCGTAGACAATTAAGTTAATTAATTTTCACGCAAATTTTCTTGTTTTTATTTATACAAATAATCCAAGAATTATTATTACTTCATATCTATTTAGCTATATAAATCGTTCGATTCATTCAAACTTCTACTACTGTGTGTGTAAACACTAATGTGTTGGAACTTTACTCTTTAGCAAATTACTCTTTACAGCATATTTGCATAAAACTTTTTTCATTTTGAAAAAAACTTTTATTCGCGAAAAAAATCCGTGGTTAAATGTCCGTTGCTTGTGCCTATAACTTAATCGATGTAAAATGTTTATTTTTTATATATCTGTGTACTTTATCTAAAGGTTCTGCCTTTATTTATAGCTCAAGATTTATTTATAGTTTTATTTACCTTTTAGGTATTAACAAAGTTATTAGGTATTAACTAGATAGATAAATAAATTTTTATTTATCTTTTTAAGTTGAAAATTTTAGAAACAGTGAAATTCATTTGTATGTAGATATAAAAATAAAATTTCAGAAATAATTAATTCATGAGTTGTAAATTAATTGTACGAATTGTTTTAGGCTGCTGGTTTCGGTTACGTGGAATTAGCTCAGGAAATTCTTTCAAAGTACCCCGCTATCATAAACGCCCAAGATAACGAAGGCAAGACTCCCCTACATTACGCTGCAATTTGCAAGGATGGTGGAATTATGTATGATTTACTAGTGGATTATGGTGCCGATGAAAATAAGATGGATAACGTAAGAAAGGAAAATATTATAATTATGCAATATATGATAAAATTTATGATTTTATTATTTAATAAATTTCATATGGGCACTTGAAATATTGAAGTGAAATTCTTACCAAATAATCCATTTATAAGTCTGTCGTCGTCGCTATTTTATTTTACCTAAGGCCAAAGTGGCTTAGCCAATCTCCTGTCTCAAGATCCGAGTCTCTTGCATTGACTTGCGCCGGGTCTAGGCCGAATAGGTACTAATCGATCAAAAATTTACGTTCACAGCGACAAAAGCCCGCTATCTTCTACAAGAGCCGGGCATCGGACATGGACATGGCGAGTCTCGTGATGATCCCCGACGCTCCCCGCGTTTCAAGCTTAACTTATCCTCGCAACTGGGATTGGCGCATCATCGAGACGGACCAGCCGTTGACGCGGATCAAGCATACGGGTAACAACGCGGACGACGACAGCGCGTTCGGCAGTGCCGAGTCGGCCAAACTTGCGGAGGACGCTTCTACGGAGGTACTCACCATTATTACGCTGCGGATGTCACTCGAGGCGCGGCTTTTCACTATCCCCGACGACTAATTATGAAAGCCAGATATATATCCTAGTTTTTTTTGTTAATTGAGGAAGGAGACTCGGAAGATTCGTTTTCTGCTTGGCGCTATTGGCGCGTCGGGGGTTAATGAAAAGTTCACACTACACATGCACGAACGAGGGCTCAATTGCAGAATATTGACGATTTTTTATTTTTATATTCTTGTCTCATACCTACGTGTAAGCTTTAATGGTCTCGTGCCTTTGATTACTCACAGATTGTACTGTTCCGAGAGTACATTAGTGTTCGTGAAACAGGGGTTAATAATTAATTAACATACTTATATCTGATCTTATTGCTTCAGAGTCGAATAATATTTCTATGGTTTTCAAATTAAAAGAAAACAAATGTATATATCAGTAAAATTATCATATCAATAGCAATATATATATATATATATATATATATATATATATATATATATATACACACACACTAATTTTATGTAAGGGCATGAGGCTTGTGAATAAAATTTATCTATGCCTCGATTCCATTATTTTGTTTAAAGTATTTTAATAAAGCCAACTTAACCGTTCATTTCTTAGAGTATCAAAAATTTTAGATTATCTTCCCGAATTTATTTGCCAATATTTAAGTTACAAACTCCACTATATAATGATTCTTAAATTTTATTCTATGAATTAATAAAGTTTTATTGTAACATTTTGACAATAAGATTTTTAATTTTGTATTTTTCTGTGACATTCAATAGATTATAAAATAAGCATTGCACAGCTAAGAATTAAGAAAACAAAATAACAAGAATAATCATATTACGCCATAGCTGCATATACAAAAAATACTTGAAAATAAAATATTTTATTATTAAACGATAAGATTTTTCAAAGTTCTAACACTTTTTATCTAATGTTTAAACTAAGGAATTTTTATAGATATATCTATGTATTATTTATTATTTTCTAATTTAACGTATCTTCAAATGAATTAGTACGTATAGGAAAGTATTTTAATTTTTAAAAGTTGATCTATACGGTATTATTAATTACATAAATATTTAATTTTCATAAAGCTATTTTTTAATGCCGTCGCATAGAATAGTTTTTAAAAAATGTACAAATATATTTCTAATTAAATACGAAAATGTTTTTCATTTTTCGTTTTTTCCACGCTGTTTCTTATATTATTATGATATGATATGTATGTATAAGCCATTGAAAATTTATCGTGAAAATTTTGTATTTTAATTTATTACTTTTATGTCTGAAGTTGTCATAAAGATTAATTATCTTAATTAATAATTCTCGTAATAGCTTAACCTTCTTGTAATACGTATTTTTAATGTACTATAGCACAAAATTACACCGAGTATATTATATTTTTATAATTTATTAAAATTTTAGCGTAAAGTATACACGTATTACTAGTATAAAAAAATAATTGCGTATAAATAATAAGTAAATCTTTTAATATATTTATAAGAGCTACTTATTTGAATGTCATTTATTTAACAAAAAATTATTTAAAGCTCTTTTATAATTACAATTAATCGAACGATTTTAGAAAAATTTTATTTAAAATAATTTGAATGACAAAATTAAATACATTATTTCCTTATTTTAACATAGATCGCAGTAAAAATTTTTCACTATACTAAAGCTCGATTTATCAATTGTCATTTACATTTTTTCATTAATTCCGTGCAACTCTATTTTAAATGCAAAAATTAAAATACTGTTACTTTTGATTTATACTTAATTTACTTTTTAATAATATTTTATATATACGGAGATATAGTTTTTTAATTATACAAGTAACTTGGTAATATTAAATAAATTACTTAAATTATACATTGTCTTATATTACACGGCTACTTATGTTTGTATTAAAATAATCAAAGTATTGAATTCAGGATTAGGATAAAAATTTATTGTAGTAAAATTAAAATTTTACACGGTTAAAATTGGGTATTAACTATTAATTGCATAAATATATATTTCTATGAACATATAAGCAAAGCATGTTTCTGATATTACAGATTTATAAATTTTAATTGTATGGACAAATATCAAAGAAATATTTAACTTGTTAATATTTAAAAACATTATCATATACCATCACAATAATGTGATAATTCATTTTATTGTATTGATAATAATTATTTTTTATTATTTTTCTTTTACTAATAATATACAATAAACACTAATTAATAAGAAAATATTTATTGTATACATTTATAAATAAATTGCCAAACAATTATTTAAGTGAATATAATATTTCTTTCTATAATTAGAAGACATCGAACATCCACCTGCCATTTGGATTAATTACCCTTTTGCGTCATCGATTTATTTTTCATGGAAAGCACATTCTGATTAAAATGTTTGCCTGTGTAGTGATAATAGATTTATTAATACTGACAAAGTCGTTGCTACAATTTAACATTCACTGTCACGTGTGTATATATTGTATTAGTAGCGTTTGAAAGTAATATCAGTAATAATCCTTGTAAATCATATATCATATTATGCATAAATTATATAGAAATTTTACGTCTTTCTAACGTTTTTTTCCTTTTATTATACTATAACAAAATTGATTTCTAGTTTGAAAACCCTTATTTAATAACTACTTTTTAAAACGATTTTCTAAAATAATTTGTTTTTATCAAAAATCAGAAAATTGTTGTCAATAACAGGAATAAATATGTAATGAAATAGCTATCTTTTTTTCTTTATTTCTTTTTTTTTTTTTTTTTAATTTTATGAGTTGTATATATTATTTTATAAATTATTATATAAAATTATGATAAAATAGATACTTGATTTATAATTTATTTTTCGTTCTCATTAAATACTTCGTGTTAATTTTAAAATTTACAAGAAAAATTGAAAAATATTTTTTATTATTTAATTTGCTAATTTGCGTGCATTCTCTTATTAATGAATCAATATATCATTGATCGTACAACATTTTATTGTTTTTAAATTTTGTCAAATTAAAATATCAAAATGACTCGATCGCTTAAACACTATTTTGTATAAAGTTGACAAGACAGTTCCTCTCTTTCAATGATTCTTGAAAATTCAATCGTTCTTGTTATAACGCTTATCACAGCTAAATTTAACGTACTGAGATTTTTTTGCTAAATACATATTATTGTTTTGTATCGTATCAAGTATCATTTTAGTTACATACTTTAACCCAATAATATTTTAACATAAAAAGTAGTTTAGTCGTATCTTAGAAAGACAAAAAATTTCCATATGATAAAAGGTAAGAAAATTAATGAAATATCATTGAGAACAACTGGTCGAGTGTATGTTTGAAAGCTTCAATAAAGAAACAACTAAAAACAGATCGAGAATACCGAGGATGGGGAGGACGATAACGAAGCAGCCGAAGAAGAGAAGAATGTCGAGGGTGAGGGGGAATCTCAAATAGACGATAAAGATGCAGTCCCAAGCGAGGGTGAGGATGTTGGAGTAAACGAGAATGAGAATGAAGATCCAGAGGCAGTGGAACATCAAGTAGAAACCGAGGAAACTGAGGAAGTCAGTACTGACAGTAATAATATGGAAAATGGTGAAGAGACTGCGGACGTGGAAGAGAAGTCGGACGAGGAAGAGAAGGCGAACGAGGCAGAGAAGGTGGACGAGGAAGTGAAGGCGGACGAGGAAGAGAAGGCGGGCGAGGAAGAGAAGTTAGAGGAGGAGGATGAAAAGAAGGAGAAGGAGGAGGAGGATGACGAGGATGATGAAAAGAAAGAGTCAGTAGGAATCCCACCTACGGAAAATGGCGAAGAGGCACTTGGTGAGGTTGAGCTTGCGGAAGCAGAAGCAGACGCCGAGGCTCTTCCGGAGGATGACGATGCCGATGCGGAGGAAGACGATGTCGATCCAGAGGAAGTCGAAGTCGATCCGAAGGATGAGGAGGCTGGCGCAGAGAACGAGCAACCGGACAATGAGGAGGAAAATGAAGAAAAGGCGGAACCGAGTACCGCCGATTCCGGCGTGGGCGATACGCCAAACGATGAAGAGCAGGTTAGAATAGATGAGGACGAGTGATCCTTATAACTGTCTATCCAAACATATGGATGTCGTGTGCTCACTATTTTAAAATTTTCCATTCGTTTCAGTCTCGAGTATAAAAAAGCCTTTTCATTCAAAGCATGAATTTTAGTCAAATGTAATACTCGTGTAATTATTGTGAATTCATTTCTTTATTTTGTTTTGTTTTGTCATTGTTGTTTTTTTTTTTTTTTTTTTTAATAATGCAATATTAGAAATAAATTAAATATCTACTAATATAAATTTCTACTAATACAAATTTTTAATTTCTTTCTTCAATCAATTCGTCAAATTGGAATTTGATCGATTTCTTATGGATTAATTGTAATATCTGCGGTTTCAAGTAATTTAAATAAATTATCAATTATATAAATATTACGTTACGTATTATTTGAATTTATCGAAGACTATAGAATTAAACATTTTTTAATACTATCATTATGTTAAAAAAAAAATTATTAAACAATATTATTAAATGTCAATGAGAATTCTAAGAAATTTTCAATCATATAAAAAAAAAAAAAAAAAAAAAAAAAAAAAAAAAACATTCTACAGGAACATAATGTAGAACACGAATAGTGCCTATAAACTTCTAATTTACATTAATTAAAGTTATTAAAATATTTCCTATTAATAATAATATTTAATACAGTCGTATTATTATTAGTCGATTAGGCAAATTAAATATGTTGATTAACAGTATCGCCATATTAAATGCTTATAATTCACTTGCAAATTTATTTTAAATCACGACTACATTGACATTCTAAATATTTTACTTAATGAATATGTAAAATACTAAAATAAAAAAAAAATATTTCATTTAAAATTTAAATTTAAAATTTAAATATTAAAAAATTAAGAGTTGTTGAAATATTTATATTATAATAATTTACTATATGTGTTATGTTATTTTGTTTTACCATATGTGACATAATAATATCATTTATGAAACATTAATAACGTAACAAAAAGTATTAAAAAATAAAAATGACATAAATAATTAATTAAAATATCAATTAATATAAAACATTCAATATTATTTTACAATTAAAGTAGCTGATAAAAATAATCAATTATAATATGAATAATAATTTTTAAAAGATAATTTAGAAATATTAATATAAATTGAACAGTATAAATTAATAAATGTTGTTTATTAATAAAAATACAAAAATTAGTTTTATAATTTGGATAATTACCACTATAATTTTCTCTTATATTCATCCTATCAATTCAATTCTTTATAGTTTTTGGTATTAAAATATAATATGTTTAATGTGATTTTTAAAAATGTTTATTGTTTATTTTCAATAAATGCATTATAAAATTAGTTTTTTGCATCTATTCAAATAATATCTAGCTTTAGTGATTTTATTTTAGCAAGAAAAATATTTGTCGTAAAATCATATTTTATTATTTCGTTTAATAGCATTGTATAATGTAAAATAATTCATATTTGGTATTATTCACTTTGATTATAAATTATTAATATTATTTAATAATAATTTTGTAAATCTAATAATGTTCATATTTTTTATAAATTTGTTTAAGACGATTATAATTGAAATATTAACTAAGCTTATATTAAAAATTATCAACAGTTGAAGATACTAAGCCTAATTCATTTTAGCAAAAAGGATTTATATAATAATTCCTTATTTTAGTCGTATCAATTGTCGTGTGAATAAAGTCAAATATGTGAGTATAATCAATAATTATTAATATAATATTTATTCTAACATAATAACCAAGAAACTAAAAATGTTTACTGCAATAAGATAATTTAAAATTAATTGTTTCTACTTTATTAAAATTATAATCGATATTTTACTCTAATTATAAGTTTTTTTGTCTGCATTATATTTAATTGAATAATTTATAAATAAAAATAATCATCTAATTAAATATTTGGTTAATTTTATATCCTTTTTTATACTCAAACTGAACACGATAATATCAATTATATTTAAAAATATTACAAGCTGTATTTGCTTTAATTTTCTTAACATGAAATTGCCTGATATAAAATCTGTTTCAATTATTTTCGCGTGTATGCGTGTAAAAGTGTACGCTCGCGTGAATTGTCGCGTTTATACATATATGTGTCTATATTTTTTCTGTTTTTTGAGAATACAACGTTTTATCGACAATCTCAATTATAGTCGGTCATATATTCTCTGCAATTCTAGAATTTATGTACATAAAATACACAATGTATCATTATATATTTAATAATTTATTTTAATTTCTATCATATTACTAGTAAATCAATCATATTTTTATTTATTTTTAAATCGTATAAATATGTACATTAGTCTTTAAACAAGTATTTTGATATAAGTTTATATATTGTCTTGGGTACTTAATAATCGCATTTGATATATACTTATATATACTTTTTCTTACTGTGTCTTAATTCTTTAGATTCACAAAGTAGCTGTCATTTAGAAAAAAAAAAAAAAAAAAAAAACTGTAAGCCCTTAAAATAATAGCACATTAGCTATAAAAATTTACACTGTTTGTAAGTATATATATATTTTTAATTTCAGCAATATTAATAGTATTTTGGCAATTGTCTTTAAGTAACAATTTCTTAAGCAAATTTACACTAATGTGATAAAGTATATTTTTTTTTTATAATTAACACGTTTCACATAATAAACGTCTAGATGAACTTGTAAGAAATTGATACATAAACGTTTGTATATACACGTATTATAAATAGAGCATATGTAATAAATAGTATTATTATAATTATCTCTCTTGTATACAATTAATAATCAACAATTTCCTAACCATACAACTCATTATTTATAAAAATCAATGTTGCAAATATATTACAATAATTATATTACGTTATTATATTTAATTTTTCACACAAGCCTTTTGTTCATATGTTTAGCAAAGTTCATAATTTATTTTATAATTTAATATTATAGAATATCGGTAATACTTTCATATTAAAATACTATGATAATATAAGTTAGTGAAGTATTATTTTTAATTTGACCTAGATACAGTTCAAATTAATTTATAATAACTAACAAAAATACAATAGACGAATCAAGCACATAATACATTTTTATTTAATTAATTTATACATGAAAATATTGTATTCTAGTTATCTATAAATAATTTAATTTTCATTACTCATTTATTTCCAATTCTATCCTTTCTATCCTATCATTTCCTATTTTATTAAGATAAAAATGTTTTTTATTGAAGTAAGCAGATTATAAATTATATACTAAGCTATTATACTATTTTGTTTTAATCGAGAATCTATAAAAAAGACAAATTTTTAATAAATTTATATATACAATTTGTTTATGTATAAACGTAAATAAAAAATGATGAATTGAATTTTTATAATATAAATGCAATAATATTAAAGCAATTGTAGTTAAAGGTTATTACCATGAAATTGAACATATTATTCAAAGGATACACTGAGCGATATTTGTACGAAAAAATTCTTATAACAATTGTTATTTTAAGTCAATAGACATATAGTATTTATAGTTAATGCATTTAATTTAAATGTAAATAGAAAAATTGTATTTTAAATTATTGTAAAATTATGTATTTATAATAATGCTTACATTGTTTTAAGCGTTATAATGAATATAAATTATTGTTATACTATGAAAAGTCATTTAAGTCTTAGTTTCGTGTCTTTGTTTTTTGTCTTGATATTTTAATGAATGTTTTTATCGCGTGAAATTATTAAAATTGTACATCTTTACTTTTCGAATTTTCAATGAATTTCTAAATTAAATTTTTACGAATTTGCATATTGTTAGTTCTTAACTTTATGTTGGGGAATATTTCAACTTTCATAAAAACAGAAAATACGAAACTTTGAATTTTCTAAGAATTGTCGCTTGAATAATAAACTTCACGAGAACTAGAGTTTTTATATTGACAAAAACAGTATTGCACGGAAAAAATATTTATATTTTAAATTCTTCTTTAAATGAATATTGGTAAATTTTATTCAAAACTTTGAAAACTAAATATATTCATAATTCGTATGAAACACACTACTATAAACTACAAAATAAAATAGTTATTATAGCTATTGCACTTTAAACCAGATTTTTTCTGATAAAAATAAATAAAATTCACAAAAAATATTATAATTTACAACCAGTTTTTTCATTATTGCTGTAAAGTAAATTAGATGATAAATCTAAATGAAAACTTGTGTGTTAATCATTACTTTTCAGTTATTTATATTAGTGATATTTTACTAAATATGCCTGTACTTTATTCATTATTTATTCTATCGATTAATTTGAAAGAAGTGAAGACATAAAAATCGATAACGATTCTAAAGTAGTCCATTAAAAGAAAAAAGAAATAGACCTAATAAATTTGTAAGCATTAGAAGGCTATATGTGTCGATTCTACAAATTATTTATTTATGTTATAAAATCCAGGTAAGACGTCATTGCCCTATTTGAACATAAAACAATTCATGAATATCTTGCTTGGAGTGGCTTAATTACTTTAATCATTGTGAATTATCTCTCATATAATTAATTGTGTATATATATAGCTTCTAAAAATCTATTGAAAAAATAAATTTAAACAATATAATATAGAATTAATCGATGAAACTTTAAAATTCTAAAATAGTTTATTTGTACGTATATGATGTAGAATTTATGCTTATAGCAGATATGATGGATTGAAAAATAATACCCTATGCTTTTCATAAATGGAGCGAAAAAATGAAAATTATCAATTATACTTATGGAAAGTGCTTATTACTTAATGATTTTTCAGTTTATCACATCTATTATGTATAAAATAATAATAAAAGAAAAGGCAGTATTATCATTTTATACGTAGGAGTTAGAAAATAATGTAAGGTCATAAATACGTTTGAATTATAAAGAATTATAATGATATTGTTTTTTTTTGTTTTTTAAATATTTGTAAATGTTTTTAAATCACGTAAATTGCTAAAAAAACACAATTAATATTATTTAAATAAATATTATTCTACACACACCCTCTGCATTGCTTTGTTTCTTCGTGTAATTTTTGTATAGTGTTTCAAGTAAGTAAAATGCTCGATGTCTTCGCTTTCGAAAAAAAAAAAAATTAAAAAAAAAAAAGTTAAAAAGGCAAAAACTCGGGCAGTCTATGGCTTATGATCAATAGTAATAGCTTGCGGCGTACCGATCGTAAAAATCGGTAAGGTCATTAGTAAGCCGTAAAGGGTAAGCGAGGACCTCGGGTCCGTCAGTTGGACTAGCGGTGGCGATTCGGGCAGGCGGAAGGTGGCTCGCGCTGTCATGAACGGCAAATAATAACGATGGTGCGCTTCCGGGTAGTGAAGGATGACATACGCACGCGTAGGTGCTTATGTTCTTCGTGAAAGTCGAGGGCGCGTGGAACGAAAAATCGATCGATATACCTCAGCACTTTGTACGCGAACATAAAGACGACCGCGAGAGGGTGGGGTAAGGGGGCGGCGGGGGTGGCGGCGGAGGGGGAGGTGGAGCGGGAACTTACAGCCGTGTTTAGTTCTAACAAAGTTGATGTACGTGTTTCGTTCTAACAAAGTTGATGTACGTGTTGGTGTGTGATCGTTGTTGGAAAGTTGCATTGTCACGCGGGTGGTGGAAAACGCAGAGCGTCGCTGGATTCTCTAACAGCGTGGGCGACACCTCCCAATTGATCTGACGAACGTGTATGCAACATTGCTGTTATAAATCTCACCGTTAATATTTGAGGATTTTAATTGAGCTGTTAGGAAGCCGAGTCCTTTTACTTGACAACACGGTGCCTGTTTATTTTTCTTGTCTTTTTGATTGTTATACGTGCGCTGCTGCATGCAGACTTAAGAAGTGGATAGTGAATTATTTTTCCAACAAAGTTTGATAAGTGTTAAACTTAACTTCGATTCTTTTCAGTTTTGTAATTTTTTTTTTATCGATTTATGAGCAAATTGGCTCATCGTATTTCAAGGCTTTCAGCGTGATTAGTTGATACAGATAGAATACAACTCGTACCTTAATTAATTACTTATCATTTAATTATTCAATATGCATTATGAAATTAGCATATTTATAATTGTTGCAATGTTTAATTGAATTATTGAGTAATAGAAATAATCTGTATTAAATTGTAGTCTGATTTATGTACCGAGAAATTGCAAAATCATCAAAATATAAACTCTATCAAAATATAAATTAATCCATTCCTTTATTATTTTGAAATTAAAAGAACATTTTTTACGACAATTTGAGAGCGTAGAATAGTCCACCAAGGTAGATTTTTGCATAATCCAATTGAAATATATATATATATATATATATATATATATATATATATATATATAGTTTTTTTTTTTTTAAAGAAGCTGACTCAAATTATATCGTAATAAATCTGTTACAATGGTAAGCTCTAAATTAGATTTTTTTTTTTTTTTTTTTTTTTATACATATTCATCACCTTGATACTACTATTTTACTTGTGATGCTTTGATTCGAATTTTATTATTATAAAGCAATGAAAAATAAAGCTCAGAATTTTTTCAGTCATCATTTATATCGTGTAAAATTTGCTCGTTATATAAGTGTAATAATATATTAAATTATTTGGGAAAAATATTAATTTAATTTTGTTTTGTTAAATTTTTTTTTTTAATATTATCTTTAACAATTTATTTGATAAACTAATGCCATCGCCATATTAATAATAATTTTATATACAGAGATTATATGTAATTAATAATAGTGCTGATGGATTTGGCTTAGTCGGAAATGATGATGAGACAGACAAATTATTTTAATGTCTAGTGGACTCGTAGAATTATTTATTAAGTATGTGACTTTATGTCGCTATCATTGTATCTTTTCCAAATAATGATTAATCAACCTAAAAATTTTTGTACCTAAATTGAAGAAAGATATTTTTCCATTTTTTGTCTAAATATTGAAAGTCTTGTGAAGGTTAATAACTATAAATCAGCAAATTCTCCATTACAAGCTTTATTTCTAAAAAAAAAAAAAAGAAGAAGTAAATAATAACTTTGTAAGGGTTTCAACAATTACTTTGTACATAAAATTATTTTTACATTAATTATATAATTTGAGCAAAGCTAAGTCGTAAAATTATGATTTTACCACATAAATATATAAATAAACATTATATAAACCATCTAGATTTAATTTAATTAAATTATAAATATATCGTAATAAACTTAAAGAATCAAATAG